AGATCGAAATACGCATTTTTTAAATTATTGCACGTAACCGACAATTGGTTGGAAAAAAGTGCAGAGAGCACGTCTGTAACCATTGTAACCTCTGATGGATACCCATCCATTTTTGAGTTTGTAATCCGACAGGTCCGTGTTTCTGTGTTAGCCAGGAATGCCTTAAGTTCACGGTAATGCCAAGCGTCACTGCAACTGTAATAAATAAACCTCCAGAATCTAGAAAGTGGAAGACGCTCATTCACTTCAAAAGCATGAAAGACTAGTGATTCAACTGGGGCCTAAACTCATGATGAAGGGTCAGTCTGACCATCTACCGACCGAACAACTTTTGTCTGCACGGTATATATCGCAGTTCTGAAAAGAGATGAATCCACCGCTAACGTGACATAATATCACATTGAGGAAACCAATGTCAAAATTTTCTAACACGTTCTTATGTTTCAAATAATGGAGTCTGCGAAGATACTTATTCGTATCTTCGGTGATACTTTTCTGAGCAAGTATAGGAAATGTCTCCTCTCCTCACTTTGGGAGTGAATTTTTATTACCCCCGGGGTTACTTAAATGAAAAAAACCTTAAGCGTCATGTACACCCTAAAAAAGCAACAGATCCCCCGGAGTAGCGAATATTTAACCGAGATTCTAACTACAACGTTAAACAATCAGACAGAAACTTCGCAGCACTACTCTGAACAAAAAAAGTTCGTTCTTCCTTCTTGACAAAGAACTGCTCAATAAACTATGAAGTTAGAGTTGAGCAGAGAAAAAAATTTTATGCAGATATACAGACTGGCAAATAAGATACTGAAAACACATATGTGCAATGATAAGATCAAAATGAGAATCAAACTTCACATGCTAAGCATGGACAACTGTCAGAATCCGTACTACTATAACATTCACAAGAACCACATTTCGTATGACGCACCACTGAACAATAAGTTCATCCATCATTTCGCAGATTAGCCAATATACAACTTCTATCCGTATCAAAACTCTATGCCCAATTAATAGTAACTGCATCTTCGATTCAACTGAGTTCACAGACAAAGTAAGCAGAATTCAGGATATTACCACAGTTAGTTTCGACGCTTTCGTCATAAGCGTATCATTACACTGAATATCACCTAGCATAGACTGACGGCGTAGAACTATTTCCCTCTATTAACTTGCTACGAGATGGAAACCATTCCTAGACTCAACCGAATTTCATCGGTTACAAGATAACAGTGTCAGTAAACTGGGTATGTTAAATATCTCCCATTGTTTTGAAGATACATGATGAACAATCTGAATACAATTTTTGAGTCATTAACGAACAAGCTAGAAGTACGGTACAAAATGACAGCCGGATCCTAAATATTTTGGCATGCAATCATCTTAATGATTTCCAGAAAGGTAGGGAGCTCCACTTCCTTGTCATTCTACTATACAGGGCATAGGGAACACAGAGATCGAAGAACTACAAAACGTCTGCATACTGGCTGTAATAACAACTTCGATTTATATATTCGATATGCCTCCAGGTGAGAGTGGTAAAAATTTAGTATCCACCATTATGATATGATTCAACCACACTCAAGAAGCAGCAAATATATCACGTAATTACTCCATTTAAGCACAACTACCTGAAATTCTTCGTTAAGGAATACGAAGTTGAACGGACAGCAAAAAGTACATTACAGCGAAGGAATCAAACAGCCTTTAAAATGATTCAACTTAATGTTTGAACTTATTGTTTGTTCAACTTAGCATA